CTTTCTTTCTTTCTTTCTTTCTTTCTTTCTTTCTTTCTTCCTTTCTTTCTTTCTTTTCTCCTCCTCCTCCTCCTCCTCCTCCTCCTCCTTCCAGTCTCAAATACATAGCTTTGGCTTGCCTGGAACTGGATATGAAGACCAGATTGGCCTCAAACTCACAAGAGAACCTCCTGCCTTTGCCTCCCGAGTACTGCGATTAAAGGCACACACCACCACAAATACATTTCATACTCTCCTTAAAATTTAATTGGATATTAAAAAAAACAAACTTTATCATCTTTACCATTCTAAGTGTTCACTAGTGTTAGATTATAGTCACAGTAATTTTCTCTAAACCTTTCCATCTTGAAAATGGGAACACATTGCATGTTGATACTAATTCCCAAACCCTTCTCTGAATGGCCTCTGCATTTTGCTGAATTGGTGACTCTGGGGACCTCAATAAGTGGAGTCATACAGCATTTTTCTCCCTTAAGAAATACATTTTTTTTTTGTTTTTGAGAATTTCATACAGGTACACAGTGTGTTTCGGTCATATTCACCTCTCCCTCCTCCAGCCCCAACACATCTCCCACCTTCATGTCCTCTCTTTGTTTCATGACCCACTAAGTCCCTTTAGTGCTTCCCAACTGCTCATGGGTGTAGGCAGGGCCATCTGATAGAGCTCGGGCACACCCCCAAAGAAAAATGACTCTAACAACCATCAGTTGCCAATAGCTGCTTAGCCAGAGGCCTCAAGAGCCCCTCCCCACCCACGCTGGGGTTTTGACCTTGATCTCGCACAGGTGACCTCCGTTGCCACAAGTTTGAGTGCCACAGTTGTGTCCCTCCCATCCAGAAGACATTTCACAGCCCTCCTCCCGTCGGCTGCCTCTTGCATTCTTTCTGCCCCTTTGTCTGAGATGAGACCTTCTCTGTACCTTGGAGGGGACAGGGTGACAGACGTCCCTCCCACTTAAGAGCACTCGCGGCCACTGATTCTCAGCAGGCTGACCAGTTAGGAGTCTCTGTGCTAACCTCTGCCTGATGCCAAAAGAAGCTTCACTAGCCACGGCTGAGAGCAGCACCGGTTCATGAAATGGATTGCTGGCACAGCTGCCCTAGGGCAACGCAAGGTTCTCCGGTCCTCTGGCACTAGCAGGTTCCGTGGAGCCCTGTGACTCACGTCCACCAGTATTGTTTTCTTGTGACCGTCTTACTTTGTCCACCTTAGTTTAAAATATTCTTGTTTGAAGGAAGAACTGCATTTTTTGATGAGGTATGAGATTTTCCACCCAAGCAATGTGATGATGATGATTTACAAAGTGCATTTAACCAGTTAGGCCATTATTATATAGATTCTTTGAGACCTGCAGGCTTTCACTATGCAGCCCAGGTTAGTCTCAATCTCATGGCACCCATTTCAGACTCCCACATTCTGGGATTAAAGGCGTGAGCCACCATGACATCTCATGCCTTCTTTTTTATGGCAAAAAATTGAGTGTTTAAGGTTGTCCATGGGAAGCTTCGACATATATGTGCATGGTGAATGATTCTTTCCGCCAAGCTAATCTGTATTCTCATCCCATGCATTGAAACCAGTCAACACCTTGCTCAGACATCAGTGGCATCTGCCTTTGCACTTCCTCCTTGTGGCTCTGACTTCTATTTCTTGAGAAATGGTGGCCCCAGTTTCAGCAGGAACGCCGACAGGCCCTTGTGGTCAGCAACCGGGGCCCTTGGTGCTGGCTTTCCTTCACTGCATGCTAGGGTGGATTGGTTCGCATGCTCCAGGCTATTGATTCAGCGGGTGTAGCCAATAGGAACAGAGTTGAGGTGCTTTGCATTTTGAATTAGAGAAGTGGGAAGGGGCCCCAGCTGATCATACCAGGAGGCAGTGGCGATGTAAGGACCACATCCATTTGAGGGTCTGAGTGTCCATCTGTGTCCATCTGTGTGTGTGTGTATCTGTGTCCCAGCCGTGGCAAGTGTCCCTGGGTGCTGATCATTGCTGGGTGTTCAGTGTGAAATTTCAGAGTCCTTCCACCTGTGACAGGACTATGTGGTTTCTGAAATGAAAGCTTATAGCCAGGTGTAGTGGCCCATGGCTTTAATCCTAGCACTCATTAGGCAGAGACAGGCAGATCTCTGTGAGTTTTAGTCCAGCCTGGTCTACAGAGTGAGTTCCAGGACAGCCAAAGCTATATAATAAGACTGTCTCAATCCGCCCCCACCAAAACAAAAACAAAACAAAAAAGAAAGAAAAAGAAAACCTTATACAGGTGCAGTGACCACACTTCTATTATCAGTTACAGCAGGGGAGGGTGCCTGGAGTTCTCAGGCAGGCTTTCACTGGCTGAGTCTCCTGGTAGGGGGTGGGGCAGGAAAGCAGTCCCTTCTAGTGCTGGGGTCTCAGTCCTGCCCATGAACCTTGCTACAGTGCTTCTCTGCCCTCTGGTGGCAGGAGGGAATCTCAGGGACACAATGCTGCTAAATTGTTTTGTGCCCCCCTACCCAATTTTTAATCCACTTTAGCCAGGATGGGTGGGACTATGGTCCAGCAGGCTCAAGCCTGGCGGAGGGTTCTTGGGTAGAAGTGAGCAGGTCTTCAGGTGGTGGCTGTTGGGAGGTGGTTCGTGGAGGTGGTTGGGAGGCTGCAGGTGTGGGCTGGAGAAGCCGCTATTAAAGGGGCAGGTGGGGCCTGCGCTTGGGATGTCCTTTGGTGCTTTGGTTCTGCATGTTGCTTGCTGAGAGGGTAGTGAGGACCCACCATGGGGAGCGTGAGAGGCCTGTGGTCTTGGATGCTAGCTTTGCTCTCCTTGCCGGGTAAGCTGGCTCCTGCATCTGGGGCAATGGGAGGAGGCCGGGCGCTGTGGCTGTAGCTTAAAGCAGTCTTAAACAAGCTTCACGGCTCTGCATGGAGGTCTCCCACACCCGTAGGAGCAAAGGGCCCGCCTAACCGTAGATTGCCCAGCACCATACCACATACCTCCTTGTTTTAAGGTACAGGCTCTTTTATAACCCGGCTAGGGCAGCAGTCACTCCAGCTCTGAGTCTGGGTTGAGGAAAAGCTAAAGAGAAGGGTCTGAGGCTAGCCCTGAATCTGGCGCCGCCACAAGATTTAAATTTCATCCTGGATCTCTTCATCCTCCCTTTGGCCTCATGTGCTGCCCTAGCCAAGTGTTAGTCCCTCGAAGGGCCCACCTTTATTGGCGGCATCTAGGCCTTGCTGTTAGGCGAGGTGGAGTGGGAAGCCCAGGCAGGCTCAGGGCTGCTGCGGGGAGGTCTCCTGAAGGGGTTGAGTGTTGCTTCCCCATGTCCCATTGTCCTATCTCACCAATGGAGCCCTGGGGGCATCTTTGTGTCTGCACTTGTCTGCCCCGGCCAGGTTTGATCCTGGGAGCACCCTCACCACCCAGATGTTCAGGAGTATGCAGTACCAGTGTCCCAGAGGGCTTCACTCCTGAAGGGAGCCAGGCATCTCAGGACAAGGACATTCCCGCAATTAACCAAGGTAAGACCACTGGATCATACTCCCAAAAGTCAAGACAAGTCTAGGCATGCAGAAAAGGTTGAAAAGAAATGTCCCCACATATTTTCGGACTTCTAAATAAGTGCATGTTTCTTGGGGAAAAGCTTTACATATTTTTTTCTGTATTTTTTTTTTTTGCTGGTGAATTATTACTTTGATTCTATTTAACTTTTATTAATTCTCTGGGTTTTACATCATGTATCCTGACGTATCACTTATTTCCCCATCTTCTCACATCCACCCTCTGCCCATGCAACCTCCCCACCAAAACAAAACAAAATTTAAAAGAAAAACCAAAACTCAAACCAAACAACGAAAGAATCTCGTTGTGGAAGCTGTAGTGTGGCCTGTTGAGTCACAGAGTCTGACCCTTAGTCCATTCTTCTTTACTTGTAAGTGTTCATTGCTAGGAATCATTCACTGGCCTGGTTCGAGGCCTCTGGCTTCTGCTACACCATCAACAACGGGTTCTCTCTGGGGCTCCTTTTGGATAGTCTGTTTTCCTGTGTCCTGCAGCTTTGGATCTGTAGGTTCATCCCTTTCACCTGCTTGATAGTTCATAGATGAGGTGGATACTGAGCTGGGTCAACTCGTAGCCTTGATTCTCGGCCTGGATGGTAGCTGGGCTGCTTAGCCCTCCAGCTTTCCCTCATCCTCACTACCTGGTATATGAGTGAGTTCTAGGACAGCCAGGGCTCTACAGTCAAACACTCATCTTGAACCCTCCCCTCCCTGCCAGAGAGAGAGAGAGAGAGAGAGAGAGAGAGAGAGAGAGAGAGAGAGAGAGCAAGCACACACTGGTTCTCTCTCAGCCTGGGAGTTGAGCAAAATCATCAGTAGATGTTTGAGAACATACCAGTCACTCTATGGGGGACAGTGTACAGGTGTGACCAAACCAGTAGGGGCTGGGGTATTAAAGAACAAAGAAACAGGTGTCTCAGGGCCTCCCTGTCTGGGAATCTCAGACAATGAGGAACACAGACACATTGGGTTGAAGTTGGCAGCAATGAAGATGAATTCAGATAATGGAGACATCATGGCTGAAATGTTGGGGGAACAGAGGTAACCTTGGCTTAGGGTAGGTGGTGGCCACAGTGTGATCTTCTCTGTTCTTTATTTGTGAGCTGGTTAGAAGCTCAAGTGGGCACCAATCCTCACTCTGTCATTGTCCTCTGTAGGTAGCCAGAGCCAAGGGTCTTCCTGGCCCTCATTTTCAGTGCCAAGAGAAGCTTCTCCCATGCTGGGTCTCACAGTAGCTGCCAACAGCTGCCCCTGCCTATGTGATGTCTAACTGGGAAAAGCCACTCTCCCCAGCTGCTGTAAATGATGGCTCTGATGCTGTTGATACCACACAACTGTACCAGATCCTGAAACAGTGGTTCTCAACCTTCCTGATGCTGTGACCCTTTCATACAGTTCCTCATGTTGTGGTGACCCCAACCATAAAATTACTTTCATTGCTTCATAACTGTAACTTTGCTACTGTTATGAATCATAATGAAATATCTGTGTTTCCCGATGATCTTAGGTGTCCCCTGTGAAAGGGTCATTCGCGCTCCAAAGGAGTCGTGACCCACAGGTTGAGAACCACTGTCGTGGCGCGTGTTCTTTTAGATTTAAGGATGCAGTCTTGATTGGAGATAATCTTAAGGGGACTCCTCTTACCTGAAGAGGACTCATAAGGGGTGCAACTAGTCTGTGTCGCCATCTGTTGTTTGAAGCTCTGAGATCAGGCAGCGCTCCTGTATTCTTCTCAAGCCTCTTGTGGCTTCCGCCAATGTCTCATGGGTCCTCCTGAGCTGTCTCTTCCCAGCAGTCAGCTACAGAAGGCTCCCTGACTAGAAGGAAGATGAGAAGCCAAAGTGAATAGAGACAAAAAGTATTTACCCTCCTCAACTTCCTTCTGTGGCTATGACTTTGTAATTTCGGTTCCTTTACCTCAAGGGTCCAGAATGTAATGTGTGATTATGGGAAGCACATGGTGGGTGGGGGCAAGGTGAGGCAGGAGAGACCAGGACATGTTCTGGGGAGTATGGCTTGGGCTGGACAGAGCCCGAACGGGAGAGAAGGTGGCATCCTCACAGATGAGGGCCTGGAGGTGGAACTGATCACAAGTGCTGGGAATCACGGCTGTGTTTGAACAGGGGAAGGATACAAACAGATTGAGAAGCCTCACACACATTTGCAGGCTGGGTCTCAGCTGGGCCGTTGGGCTTCCCCAAAGCCACATAGCCTTGGTGCTCAAAGGAGCTTAGCTCCAAAGCAGAAGAAGGCATAGGCACTGGCCGTGCTGGGTCTGTGTTCTGGAAGTCACAGGTGACACGCATCCCTTCCTCCTTTCCCTCCCAGGGCTCATCTCAGAGGAGACCCCAGAAAGCAGCTTCCTGGTTGAAGGGGACATCATCCGGCCGGTGAGTTGTGCACACGTGGTATGCGCAGCCGCAAAGCCGTGAGAGCACCTTGGAAACCCTCTTCTAGGTGTCACGAGGGCTCTGGTGTGTATGACTGGCTGTTAGGTAATACGATCAGGGTGGCAGCTGAGATGACATCCCAAGAGGGCTCCTTGGAAGAGGGGATTCAAGCTTTTAGACCCCAGTTGACACCCTGCCCAGGGGAGAACTCAGAAAACACAAGGCTGGAGGCGTGATCCCAGACCGACTTGGACATGTGTGTGAGACCTGGATGGCTGTAAAGATCCCCCTAGGGAAGCTAGAGCAAGGAGGAACATGGAGAGACCATCTTGGCTAGGGGCGGAGGACTGAGTCAGAAGGGAGGAGGCTGATGGGAACAGAAATGATGACAAAGCAGAGGGAAAACCTTGTTTAGGAGAGCGTAGGTGACTGAAGGCTGCTGGATATGACCATGAGTAGTGGGAAGCAAGACTGTTCTGATTGTTCAGAGGGGGCTGACGGCGACTGAGGCTGTCCTGGAGTTCATAGGCTAACAGGTTAGGGTATCCATTAGAGATGTGTATGCACTTGCCTGCCGTTTGAAACCCTTAGAGCAGAACTAAATCAAGTTGGTGGCTAGAGGGGACAGGACCTTCTGGGATCTGGGAAGCCTACACTTTAGAGTTCTGGTTAGTGGACGATAGGAGAGCGGCATTTGTGAGGACATTACCCTGAGCAGGATCCTTCCATTCTATTCATGTCCTGAGGAGGTGCTTAGGAGGGGCTGAGTCCTTCTGAGCCAGGCCTCCTGGGGTGCCAACCTTAGGTACTTTTATCTACTCGATAGAACATGATAGAGCACATTGCAACTTCTGTTATCTGAATTCTTTTTTTAAAAAGATTTATTTATTATGCATACAATGTGCTGTTGGCATGTGTACCCACATGCCAGAAGAGGGCACCAGATCTCATTACAGACGGTTGTGAGCCACCATGTGGTTGCTGGAAATTGAACTCAGGTCCTCTGGAATAGCAGCCAGTGCTCTTCACCTCTGAGCCATCTCTCCAGCCCCTGTTATCTGAATTCTCAGTTCGTCCATTGACTTCCCAGGCTCTCATTCCTCTTCTAACGGTGTCCTCGCTCCCAAGGCCTCCCTGTGGCACCTCTCACATCTCCAGGGTTCTGATGGTCTGAGGCAGAGTACCCCAGGAAGTAGGACATTTAGGTGGCCTGTGTCCTGTGTCCTTCACTAACTCTGAGCTGCCCTCTTTCCTCAGAGCCCCTTCCGACTGTTGTCAGTGACCAACAATAAATGGCCTAAGGGTGCTGGTGGCATTGTGGAGATCCCCTTCCTGCTCTCCAGCAAGTATGGTGAGAGCTGAGGTGGGGCTTCCCACCCTTCTCCTGGATGCAGCGGGGCTCCTGCAGGGAGCTCCTCTTCTCCTGCAGCACCACACCCCTTAGACGAGAGTGCTGTGCAGAGCTCCCCTCCCCTGGGCATCTGAACTGTGGTGGGGGTGTGTGTAGTGGGGGTGTGTGTAGTGGGGGTGTGTGTGGTGGGGAGTGAGGGGTGGGAGGTGTGGGGGATGGGGGGTAGGGGATGTGTGTGAGGTATATGTGTAATACTGGAAGAGCTGATGGAACTCTCTAGTCCCCTCTGGGCTACATAGTCACACAGCCAGGGCCTTTCTGCAGCTTAGTGTTTCTCTTCAATATTGTCCTCTCTGAACACTGTTTTTGGAACATTTGGGCTTAATGTCTGGTCTCAGCCCCCATGCAGACTTCAGAGATCCTCAAGAGCTATTGGGACCTCCATGGAGGCTCAGCCATGTGTGTCTTTCCCAGATGAGCCCAGCCGTCGGATCATTATGGAGGCTTTCGCTGAGTTTGAACGTTCCACATGCATCCGGTTTGTTGCCTACCAGGGCCACAGAGACTTCATTTCCATCCTTCCTATGTCAGGGTAAGTGATCTTGGTGTGTGGGTGTGTGGCCCTGTGACTTTGTGGCTTCCTGTCTTCCCTGATCATCCGTTAGTGTGCACAAGTGGTATTAGGCCTATTCCTGGGCCTGTTTGCTTGACTTCAACCCCAGTCTATCCTGAATGGTTCGTTTATGACCTGGACCTTCTGGGCCACTGGCGGGTGAGGGATGGCCACTGGGTACAGGACCCTTCTCTACAAACCCTCATCTCCTGGAGGTCTTGTGGTATGCGCCTGGGAAAATGTGGGGTCCTAGTTCTGCCACTCCATGTGCCAACCCAAGTCTAGGTGAGTTCCCTAATTTAGCCTCTACCTTCTTTCTGAGGCAGGGGTAGTGGTAATAACTGCATCCTATTTTCATTGGACATGGTGTGAATGGAAGCTGTGACTCAGGCTTATGACATAGGACTGCTCATGTAATGACCCGCTCTATCATGCATGAATATCAGGTCCCACCTTTTGTCAGCTCAGGTAGTAACGAAGCCCCAGGTGACACCCTCTTCACAAGCCAAGCAGTCAGGGGACCTGGGAGGTGGGACAGAAGGTCTTGGACTAGCGTCCAGGATGGGGACTGGCAGGAGTCTGATCCTGGCTCATCCCGGGTCCTAAAGCAGAGCAAACACCTGTTCTTCTGACCTTTCTGGCCTGATACCCAGCTAGTGCACTGCCAAGCGGCTCATGCTCAGGGTCTTGCAGGTGCTTCTCCGGTGTGGGACGCAGTGGAGGGATGCAGGTGGTGTCCTTAGCACCTACTTGTCTCCGGAAGGGCCATGGCATCGTGCTACATGAGCTCATGCATGTGCTTGGCTTCTGGCATGAGCATTCACGGGCAGATCGGGACCGCTACATCCGCGTCAACTGGAATGAGATCCTCCCAGGTAAGGCAGCTGGCGTCTAGGCTAGGCCGGGCCAGGGGACCTCGAGGGACAGAGGCCTCGGGCCAGGGCTAGAGTTGAGTTGCTTGCCTCCCCTGGAAGAGTCCATCCCACACACTGCCTGTCCCTTTCTCATGAGGCAAGTGGGATTCATGCCTCTCTGGTATTTGAGAGTGATCCTGTGGTGTTCCTCTTGAGTCTCTATAGTAGTACCCAAGGAAGGACATCAGCCATTTGCTTTGTCTCTCTTCTCTCTGCCACCATCATCTGACTGTGAGGTTGACAGTGTCCTATGACTCTTGCTCTCTGAGTACTCAGCAGTCCCCCATGTGACAGACATTAGTGTGTGATATTGGGGCGAGGGCTACATGTCAGTTGTGGGCACTGAGCCAGGAGAGAGATGGGGGAGGGTAGACCAGATACATGTGTCAAGGGGCAACACTGAAAGGCTGAGGTACCAAAGATGTGAATCAGTGGGCATGTGGCTCAGAGTACCCGGGACGCGGCAGAGCCAAGGCTGACGGAGCGAGGGGCTCTGATGGCAGTGGGCGTATGTGTGCTGGACATGGTGCAGGGATCAGATGATCTCAGTGGTGAGAATGACAGTTGCCTCCGCCAGGTGGGAAGCTGTGGAGGGGAGGAGATGCAGGGAGAGTAGGAGGCCTCCTGCCCATTGGAACCAGGAGGGGCCTCTGCCGCTGCTCTGGGGCTGGCCAGGTGAAAAGAATACTTGTCCCAGAGACGGTGCTTTGGAGGTAACTGGGTAGCTAATGACAAAGGTGGGATTGGGGAGGTGGGCCGGGGGTGATCATGATCTTTCCAGGTGTTCCTGGGGTGTTTGTAAGCACTCATCCTATGACAGACTGGATCTGAAAACTTAAGTCAATGCAAACACCCTGATCATGACATAAAGTAGAAGCCAAACCACTAGACTGCTCTCCTTAGGGGATCCAGTCAAATACTTTTAGTTCTGGAGATTAAAGGAACTTCAGGGGTTCTGAAAAAAAAATAAAGGAAAAGTATGGAAATGTATGCAATCCTAGCACTCTGGAGGCCGAGGCAAAGGGATCTGAGCGTGAGGACAGGCAGGGCTATATGGATCCTGCCTTTAAATAAATAATCAACAAAACACTATTTTAAAATCAATGGTTTAATTAGGGTAAGGGTAGGCTCAGGGAAAGTGTAGAGGCATCAATACTTATATCCATAAAAGCAAAGAGAACAAATAAGTTAAATGTGCCTGCTTAAGTTGTTTTTTTTTAAAAAAAAAATTAAAAAATTAAGAATTAAAAATTAAGGTAAAAGCATAAATTAGAGTTAGAAAACAGCCCAAATTAATGCAAAGAGCTGTTCTAACAATCAAATTGGCTCAAAAACAAAACAAAACAAAACACCTACCTACTAAGGAGTGTATGACACTTATTTGGTTTATAACTGGGGTTCCATCCCTAGTGCCAACTATAGTTCAGCTATCCTACTGGGAAATTATGGTTCCCTCAAATGGGCATAAGCTCTGCCAAGGCATTAAAACTAATCACAAAGTGATTTTTTGTGAGCTTTGAGAGGTAGAAATTCAGAGGAAGCAGGTAGCATAGGAAACTCACTTTATCTTTATATTTATGTATATTCTCTTTTAATTTGGTTATATTGTATTTCCATGGCGCTGGGGATTGAGTCATTGTGCATGCTAGATACTTGATATTTTTTTGCTTTCTTGAGACACGGGGTGTTACTATGTAGCTTTGGCTGTCCTGGAACTCATGGCAGACCAGGCTGACCTCAAACTCAGAAACCCTCCTACCTCTGTCTCCCAAGTGCTGGAATTAAAGATGTGCACCACTATACCCAGTTAGATATTTGTTTTCTAGGTTAGAGAAATATATTCCTATTCAAAATTATGTTTACTAATAAAGCCTCTTTGAAGAGACAAAATTGGCATTCTTTGGGGCTCTGATTAGGATAAGGAGGCTGCTGGTGACCTTAGGGAAGAAGAAAGTGTGGACACAGCCTGTTGGGTTTGGGGAGAGGGCTTGGAAACAAAGGTGTAAGGAACCAGAGGTCCTTTCAGGAGTGGTCAGCAACCTTCCTCTCTCGCTGGCCTGGAGGAGAGCAGCGGGCATTCTGGCCAACCAAGATGACTGAACTGCTAGGTGCTCCATCTGTAGCTTTGTGGTCTGAGATGGGAAGATGAAGGTGGTCTGGCTCCTGAGGGCTCAGGCACCACAATCCTGAGTGGAGAGGACAGTGTGTCTTTGAAGCTAGCTCAAGGAGTAGGCAGGGTACCAGTGTCTAAGGCACAGCAGCTGTAGCTTTGTGGGTGCTTCAGGTTTGCAAAGATTCGTGTCATGCAAAGTGAATTGGGAAGGAGGGACAGCTGGAGAGAGCTTGAAGGAGGTTTGAAGGAGGTCCTGGTTGCCTGGCCACGGGCGTCCCCTGCTTCCACAGCACCTGGTATATAGGTCTGGATTCCTTCCAGGGTCCAGTAGAGTAGGGTAGCCAAGATACTCAAAAGCAGGGACCAGCCTGGAAAGAGAAGGCTCAGTGGGGTAGTCAGACTCTTCACTTAAGTGGGTTGTGACTTCTCAGAGTTGTGCACTGCCTGTCTTTTATACACCTACAAAGGTGTGTGTATGTGTCTGTGCTTTAAGGCTTTGAAATCAACTTCATCAAGTCTCGGAGTAGCAACATGTTAGCACCCTACGACTACTCGTCAGTGATGCATTATGGGAGGTGAGCACCCTCTGTTTCCCCCTCTCTCCCTGACCCCCTCCCCGTCCCTCTTTCCCATAACCCCCCCTCCCTCCTAGCCCTGACTACTGCGATCCTGACATAGACCCCACCCCTGGGTTCCAGGTTTGCCTTCAGCTGGCGTGGGCAGCCCACCATCACACCACTCTGGACCACCAGCGTCCACATTGGCCAGCGATGGAACCTGAGCACCTCGGATATCACCCGGGTCCGTAGGCTCTACAACTGCAGCCCAAGTGTCCCTGACTCCCACAGGAGAGGTAAGAGACAGGGAGAGGGACTTGATCTAGGGAATGGATGGGTGAGGATAAAGAGATGGTGAGGCTAAGGAGAGGTGGGTCGGTCACTGTGACTCATCAGAATTGAGTTTGGAAACAGATTTGAAAAGTGTTACTACCCACTAATGACTAAGATCCCTTAGCAAAGAGAAGTAACCCCGATAATAATTCACCTACTGAATTATTTATGAACACCTACTGAAACTTTTAATGACAAAATATTAAGTCTAGGACCAAGGTAAGTTTCCCCACTATCTTGGTAAGGCAAGAAGACGACACAAAGCTCTGGTGTTTGGAAAGGAAGCAAAAAAACTCACTAACTAACCATAGATGAGTTTAGAAACAAAGCAAAAACTGTACAGAAATATATAAACACCTGTATGCACTCTGAATATAGGGTGTGTAAAGTAGCCTGTGTAGGTGCGTGGGATGGGTGCAGAGATGTGTATGTGTCTGTGAGGACAGAGTGCAAAGTTCTGAAATGGATCCTATTCAAATGTGGAACCTAATGGGCATGATACTGCACGCCTTTGATCCAATCCCAGGACTGGAGAGGCAGAGGCAAAGGCAGGTGTGGATCTCTGTGAGCCGGAGACCGGTCTGGTCGACATAGTGCGTTCCAGGACAGTCAGCGATACATAGTGAGACCCTGTCTTCAAAAAAAAAAAAAAAAGTCAAATGTGAACCCTCCAAAGGTGTGTGTGTGGGGCTTGATTAGGAAAAGAAAGGATGGCTAGTGGTTCTCAGCCTATGGGTCGTGACCCCCTTGGGGTTGAATGACCCTTTCAGATATTTACATTACGATTCATAACAGTAGCAAAATTACAGTTAATAAAGTAGGAACGAAGTAATTTTATGGTTGGTCACCACAACATAGGGACTATATTAAAGAGTCATAGCATTAGGAAGGTTGGAGGCCACTGCACTAGATGGTTCTGAGACAACTAGGTATCTAGGTATTGACCATTATACACCATAAGGGTACAAAAGACTTGTATGTGCACAGAGAAACTTCACAAAGTTTAGCAAGACACATTGGGATGGGGAAGAGTTTCTTCGCAAATAACCCTAACACTACAAAGATTAATGGGGTCAATAACATCAAGAGACACCACAAGCAAATTTAAACACAAGTTATAAAGTAGAGATGCTTCCAAACGTAGCGAGTATTGTTCTGAACTCAGAAAGAACTATAAACAGAAAGTCAAACTACCAGATAGAAAAGTGTGTGAGGTGGTTAGCAGGCCTCCCAGAAGAAACCAACAACTTTCCCTCTCCCTAAATCTGCAGTTCCCAGCCCCAGTCATAATTGATAATATCAAATACTGCTAAAGGGTAAGGGGGCAAAGGGTGATGTTTGTATCCTACTGACAGGGCCACAAATTGTGGCAACCCTTAGGAAGACAGTGTGACACCCTGTGAAGCTGCCGTGCATGCCTGTGACCCAGATTTTATTTTTAGGTCATCTTACACCTGAGTCCCATCCTCATTCCCTACCGGCCCCAATTAATCACTAATCCACCTTCTGCCTCTATGGATTTACCTTGTCTAGACATTTCATATAAATGGAACCAAGTGCCTTTTGTGTCTGGCTTACTGCCCTTAGCATGACCTTTGCAGTTTCATCTCTGCTATAGTACCTATATAACTTCTTTCCTTTTCTGCTAACTGACATATTTATTCCTCACTTGATGAGCCTTTGAGTTGTTTCTGCTTTGGCGCTATGAATACGCCTGTCGGTGTCTGCCCCAGGCACAAAGTTGCTGGGCTCCCATGGTAACACCATACTCAACTGTCTTCCAAAGCCGTTGAGCCACTTAAAAAACTCCATTTAGCTATGCAGGTGGCTACCAATTTTCCTGCACAATTGCCAAGCACACAGACTATGCTTCTGATTTTGAGTATCCCAGTGGGTATGGAAGTATTTTATTGTTCTGATTTGCATTTCTTTAATGGCTAACTATAGCCAGCCTCGATGGTGTGGCTGGTCCTCTGTATATATGGAAGTATCTCATCGTTCTGATTTGCATTTTTCTAATGGCTAACCATATCTATCCTCTAGGAGATGGTGGGTGCTCTGTATACCTTTTTGGTTTTGTGTCTATGTAGATCCTTAACCTTGCTTTCAATTGGATTGGGTTTTCCTTGTTGAATTATAAGACTTAAAAAATTACTCTTTTGTTTTGTTTTGCTTTTTTGTTTTTTTGAGACAAGGTTTCTGTCATCCTGGCTGTCCTGGAACTCTCTCTGTAGACCAGGCTGGCTTTAAACTCACAGAGATCCACTTGCCTCTGCCTCTGCCTCATGAGTGCTGGGATAAAAGGCATGCACCACCACCACTATAAAAAATATTCTTAATGCTGTCTCTTTGTTATATCATTTGGAAATATTTCCTCATTCTGGGTGCTCAGATTTTTGCTTTTTAAATAGCAACCTCACCACTTTTTATTTTGAGCCAGTCTCACCATGCAGTACTGGCCAGTCTGGAACCTCACCACTCAAGAGGTCAGCCTGCCTGTGCTAAGATTAAAAGCATGTACCACCATGCCCAACTCAAGTATCATTCTTAATATCACTTTCCCAGATATATTACATATGTATACTTTTAGTACATCAAATATTACATAATTTTTGTTAGAACTAGAATGAGATACAGTGGCACAAGGATTGCAGGTCAGCCTGGAGCTCTATGTCAAAGAGCAGAGAACTGGGACATGGTGAGGAGGGACTGTCCCAAGGGAAGGTTGAACACTATGGTGGGCAGATTGGCATGTTTGAGTGTTGAAATGATGGCACACACAATATGTGTATGAAGGGGCAGATGCTGAAGGAGAAAGGAAGCTCAGCCAGAACTCATGGGAGGGTCTGCTCTCGGAGGGAGGGTCAGACACTTATTTGGACACAATAGGAAGGAAGACAACAGGAGTGGACCTGAGTCCTTTACAGATCTGGAGACACTGTGTGTAGCCTTGGCTTCGCAGTGAGGTGAGGCTGCTGGCAGAACCCTGGGAGGGATGTGAAGTACAAAGCACCTGAACCTGGTAGAGATGGCAGGACAAAGAAAGGTGCTGGACTGGGGCAGGGACTTGTGACAGAGGGGAGGTGGCTGGGGATGTGTCCAAAGAGGTAATGGCGGCTGAGGTAGGCAACCAAGCTGGTAGAGGGTACCAACTACTTGAAGGTAAGTTGCTAGAAATAGAAGCTTCAGCTCTTGTGGTTTCTGATGCTGATGTGTTCAGAGAGAACCAGGCAGGATGAGGGTTGCTGGTCAAAGGAGTCAGCCTGGATTGGTTGCTGTACACCAATGGAGGAATGTGAGATCGTGGCGTGTGAGCAGGAAAGACGGGACTAAGAGGCAGCAGTAGGGTCCACCAGAGCAGATACACGGGCCATGAAGCTCAAGTGTTTCCCACAAAGCGTTGTCAGTCATGGCCTGGGTGTGGCAGCAAAGAAGCTTGTCTCCTGGCAGTGCACAGACCCGAGACCACTCCGGAGCTTCTGAGGGCCTCCCTTGGTTTGAACAGGCGCAGTTCTGGAGGATCTCTAAGAAGTGGGGTGGGAGGTGGGGGTAGGGTGGCCCAAAGAAGGACCTGGTAGGAGGAGGCTGTAGTGCTTGGATTGGTTGGTTTAACAGAGCAATCCAGCTGGGCTGCTGGGGTATGGGTAGGAGGCTTGCAGCATCTTTTAGTGGTGACCGAGGGGCCAAGTGAGGAGGGAATGGCACACTTCCACTGTCCTGGCTTGTCCTCTCTGTTTTTAAGACAAGGTCTTTCTGTGTAACCCAGGCTTACCACAAACTCACAGTCCTGCTTCAGGCATAGACCATCACACGCAACAGTTGTACTGCTGTGTGGTAGGAATGTAGGAGTTCGTGCCTTAGCAGAGACCTTGTAGGCTATCATCTCACTGAGTCTGGCTCCATTACCACCTTACATGAAGCCCAAATCAGCATTAATTCTTGTGGCCATGCTCTATGCCCTTTCTGTGACTCTGAGACCTAACTTCTGTTCTCTTCTGCTCCAGGGTTCGAGGCCCACAGTGATGGCAGTGATGGGAGAAACCTCCCTCCTTCCTCCCTATCATATCTGCAAAGACTTCTGGAGGCACTGGCGGAAGAATCTAGAAGCTCTGACCCCAGTTGCTCCAAGACCAGAGGCCAGGGTATTATTCCAGAGATCGTAGACAGCCAGGAAATATGGGAGCATCCTGCTCAGAGCAAGTTCGGTGTGGAGGCCTTGGCAAGACCACCTCAGATGCAAGCTGCTTCTCCGAGGTCAGGGCCTGGAGCAGGTGCAGATGGCATCTCTCTAGAGCAGTTTCAGGCAGTCCAAGACCCCGTTGTACCTCCTGCTCCATTTCCAGAAGCCAGAGATCAGCCAGCACCTATTCAAGATGCCTTGGAGAGTCTAGCTCAGCTTCCAGGAGGTTGTGCACCTGGAAGTCACGTTAGAGAGGTGCCCAGAGACTGAGCCTTTTGACTTCTGCCAGCAAGTGGGGAGGGTATACTCTTCCAAGAGAAGCTAGGTCTTCTGGTCCCTGGCCCCTCTGGGCATCACCCCTGTCTTCTATCCCCTGCACTGGCCACTCTTGGAGGCCCAGGTCACCCCCTCGGTCTCTTTCTCTACCACGTCCTCTCACCCCTGCAGAGTTCCTAGGGATAGAGAGGCCCCCAAAGTCTGTCTGTTCTTGACTTGGACCCTAGTCCTGGAAGATGCTGGGGATGGATACAGGATTGAAGAAGTGGTGGGTATGATCAAAGTTCCAGCTTCTGGACGGCCTCTGGGAATTCTACAGCTGAGGATGAGCCCCCAGCATGGACTCAAGTGTTGCCTTGGGCATGGTCTCAGGGGAAGCCCTGTGATTGGGACCACGAATATCCTCCTGTCCATTATGCCTGGCTCTAAGGATGCTCTGAAGCCCTGGGATCCAACCCTGGCCTCCAGGGGGCAGTGTCCAGTTTGTTCTCCTGCTAACCTGGACCAGCAAGAGGGGACTCCTTACCAGATCTGCATAATGGAAGCCTTGGCAAGACCGCCAGTCTCTGGACAGCAGACTTGAGCCTTAATCCCACATCACTGTTTTTGCTGCTTTGCCCACAGAGTGCTCAGTAGAAGACGCTGGGGCGGGGTGTCACACCACTTGTATTCCAGTCATGCCCCCCTCCTCCTTGGTCTCCCATGAGGTTTCTTCTAGGAACAAAGAAAGTGTGTAGGTACTAGGGTCTGGGCCAGGAGCCCTTTGTTCTCCAGGAGACTGCTGGGAGTTCAGGGAAGCCCTGCTTGGGATGGGAGGGGAACTAGGACTCTGAACTAGTGGGGAAAGGAGCCTCATCCACATGGGAGAAGGCAGAAAAATAAAGTCGGGTGTTTGCTTCATGCAGTGTGTTATGCTGATTGTCTGTGTACAGGGGTCTTTAGCCGGGTGGTGGTGGCGCACACCTTTAATCCCAGCACTTCGGAGGCAGAGGTAGGTGGCTCTGAGTTCGAGGTCAGCCTGGTCTATATAGTGAGTTCCAGGACAGCCAGGGCTACACAGAGAAACCCTGTCTGGAACTGCCCCCCCACAAAAAAAACCAAAAACAAAAAATCCTAAGGGTCTTTCACCCAAGTGCCCATGAGAGCTCCCAGGAAGTCACACGCCACACTCTCGAGGGTCAGCCTTCTGGAAGCATGTGGACTAGCTCAAGGTGACAGGGAGGTAGAAGAGACAAAGAGCAGTTTGCCTTTGCCATCTTTCTAGGGAAGTCATGTGCTGAGATTGCCTCAGGGGCCATGAAGGCTCTGCAGCCTGTATCCTCAGTCTAGCTTAGGCTTCAGAACAGTGTGGTTCCTGAGGTTGAATCAGAGGACCAGTACTGAGTATCAGCCATGAAAGGATCATAGCAGGGGATGCTGTCCCTTTTCTTGATCTTGGATATAGAAGGTGGTGGTTGGTGTCTGGCTTTGATGTTAGTAAATTGGGGCCCTGGCAGTGTTCATTAGAAGGGCAACAGCCCCAGTAGGAAATGACAGAGGCATCAAAAATAGGGTTGCCTTGAGACACCCGAGTGTCCAAACCAGGCAAACGGCACTGGGCTAGGGTTCCCAGGGGCCCCGCCAGACCAGAGGATCTACTCTAGACTCTGAGACCCCACCCAAGGCTATCATGAGCCTTTCTAAGTTGGAGCTCTTGATCTCCAAATCCAGTTCTAGAAGATTGGGTTGAGTGAAACTGGAGGCTCTTCTGTTTGGGGGCTGGCCAGGGACAAAGCTGTCCTCTTGCATTCTCCCTACAGGAAGCCGCATGTCCCTGTGTGAGCCCAGTCTCCATGCCAGCTCTGAGCAATGGGATGTTCCTTGAGTTTCATTTTGCAGAGTGCCTGATGGTCCAGGCCTTGAAGCTCATCAGCCTGGAGGCTAATCAGAGGAGCTTAGCCACGCCCCCATATCACAGCTATGCAGTGTTGCTCACCACTGGATTTATTTATTCAACAGGCACTTGGAATGCCCATTAGGTGCCAGGCAGGCTCTGTTATGGGCATCAGGGATACCCTGGTGAACAAGGTAGGGAGAGGGATGGATAATAACTTGCCTATAGGTAGGCATCTTGAATTGATCAATGACAGGGGTTGGGAAGCACTTGCAGGATGTTGGTTAGGACGAACCCCTATAAGAATGGATGCATAGGCCTGTGGTTACCTATGGAAATGCTAGGGTAGAGCCACTAGTGCAAAGGTCCTGGGACAGGAAGAAGCTAGCATATTGAGTAGGGTGAGGCAGGCAGGCAGGCAGACAGGCAGGGATAGACCAGACAGAGACAGGGTCAGTGTTTTTAAGAACAGCCTGGAGTAACAAAACGTAACTTAAGGCTTAAGAAGGCATTCTTTTTTTTCATTTACTTATTTATTTATTTATAAAAATTTCCACATCCTCCTCTCCTCCCCATACCCTCCCATTCCCCCCATTCCCTCTCCTCCTCCCTCTCCAGTTCTAAGAGCAGTCAGGGTTTCCTGCTCTGTGGAAAGTTCAAGTTCCTCCCCCCTCCCTCCAGGTCTAGGAAGGTGAGCATCCAAACAGACTAGGATCCCAAAAAGCCAGTACATGCAGACAAAACAAGACCCAGTGCCATTGTCAATGGCTTCTCAGTCAGCCCCCATGTCAGCCACATTCAGAGAATCCGGTTTGATCACATGCTCGTTCAGTCCCAGTCCAGCTGGCCTTGGTGAGCTCTCATTCGATCAGTCCCCTTGTATCAGTGGGTGAACGCATCCCTGGCGGTCCTGACTTCCTTTTTCATGTTCTCCCTCCTTCTGCTCCTCATTTGGACCTTGGGGGCTCAGTCCAGTGCTCCAAAGTGGGTCTCCGTCTCTATCTCCATCCATCGTTGGATGAAGGTTCCCTCTGGTCTTGCCTTCCTTGCTCACGTTCTCCTTCCTTCTGCTTCTCATTTGGACCTAGGGAGTTAAGTCCAGTGTTCCAGTATGTGTCTCTGTCTCTATCTCCATCCATCGCCAGATGAAGGTTCTATGGTGATATGCAAAATATTCATCAGTATGGTTATGGGCCAAGGCCAGTTCAGGCATTCTCTCCTCTGCTGCCCAAGGAACAATCTGGGGACCTCTCCTTGGGCCTGGGAACCCCTTCAGAATCAAGTCTCTTGCAAACCCTAAAATAGCTCCCTTAGTTGAGATATATACCTCCCTGCTCCCATATTCATCCTTCCTCCCTCCCCCCCATCCCATTCCCCCAAGACATCCCCAATCCTCCTCCTCTCCCTTCTCTCTAATCATCTCCCCTTACTTCCACCCCCCACTCCCCTACTTCCACCCCCCACTCCCCATGCACCCAAGTTTGCCTGGCAATCTTGTCTACTTCCAATATCCAGGAGGATAACTATATGATTTTCTTCAGGTTCACCTTCTTATTTAGCTTCTCTAGGATCACGAATTATAGGCTCAAAGACCTTTAACTATGGCTAGAATCCACTTATGAGTGAGTACATACCATATTCCTCTTTTTGGGTCTGGGTTACCTCATTCAGTAAAGCGTTTTCTATTTCCATCCATTTGCATGCAAAATTCAAGATGTCATTGTTTTTTACCGCTGAGTAAAACTCTAATGTGTATATGTTCCACACCTTCTTTAACCATTCTTATATTGTAGCCATTCTTCTATTGTTTTTAAGAACAGCCTGAAGTAACAAAACGTAACTTAAGACTTAAGAAGGCATTCTTGATGTTCCGTAGGAAATAGATTGGAAGCAAAGAGACTCGGCCATCTACCTAGTTCCCATGGCCAGCTGGGTACAGTCATCTTGCCATTCTTTGAAGAAAGATGTCACTTACATGCAAAATTACCTTTCCCTTTCCTCTATAATCTGTCTTTTCAAGACTAACACTCTGGGGCACCATAGGCCTGAGTGTATTTATATGTCTGCCATGCATCAACAGGGCTTCTGCCATCCCTCACCAACCCACAGCCATGGCCAGTATCAGCAACAAGGAGGAGATGCCCATCTGATGGAGGTGGGGATATGATTCCACAAATCCTTGGACCACAGCTGAGTGTGAAAGTATACACAGAGTTTGACGAGTGAGCTGGGCCTACTGAGGAAGGGCGGGTCTTTGATTGAACAAAGCCCTGGAAAGGATTGGTGGCATGTAGCTTGGGGAATTCCCTGGTGAGGGGACAAGCTCCTATTGCCCACCTAGCTTCAGGGTGGAAGAGAATCTTTCCTTGGTTGTGGCAATCTTGGGCTGATGCCTGAATGGTCAGTAAGTGCCCAGCATGGCTTGACACTTGGTATACTTAGATTTACCCCTTCAGGGCAGAAGCAGATGGATGTTCCTCAGATAGGTAAGGTGGGGTTGAGGGTAACCGTGATTGCTCTTCCTACAGCGTTTTGAAGACCTGGCCCTTTGAGGATAATGGGCCATTAAACCTCCCATCCTATGTTGGTAGTTGTCTGGGAAGTCATCTCTCAGTTTGAGTGTGACTGGAGGTTGTGAAAAGGCAGGTTTGGGACTATCAGGAATTGCCTCAGTGACGATTTCCCAAGCTCCCATGGCTACCTTCAGAACTTTCTCAGTAAAGGGACTGTCAGGACCTCTTCATCCCCTGTGGTCATGGGCTCAAGGCCAGTCCAGCATAATGGGAAGGGTGTCTTTGTAAGGCCTGTCTCAAGATTGCAGTCTCAAAGGGGCAGGTGAAGCAAGCTGTCCTTTTTGAGCCTGGCCTACATGTCACCACCCTCTCTGGTTGTGGCAGTCCCACATAACTGGAGAGCTAGGTGTCAGGGCAGCCTGAGATGAGAGGCATTGCTCGAGGGGCCCCACGAGGCTGGACATAGTGATCTGTCTGAGCCTGAGCTGGAGAAACTCTGCTCTGTGGGGACACAGAGGTCACATGCTAGCTCACACAGTGGAGGTCATGAGGAACGAAGGTCCAATAGACTCAGCTGAGATGGGGGCTGGGAGCAGACTCCTGTAGTTGATTCTTTTTACTCTTTGCTCAGTGTGTGTGTGTGTGGGGGGGCATCACCCAGATCCCAAATAAATCACATGGAGTCTTATTCTGACTTATGAATGCCTGGCCTTAGCTTGGCTTGTTACTAGCCAGCTTTTCTTAAATTATCCCATCTGTCTTTTGTCTCTGGGTTTTTATCTTTCTCTATTTCTGTATACTTTTTTTTTTAGTTCTTTCTCTGTGACTTGCTGTTTAGCTGGGTGACTGGACCCTGGAATCTTCCTCTCCTCTTTCTCACTCCTTGCTCTTCTCCCCAGAGTTCTCCTCCTGTTTATTCTGTTTGCCAGCCCTGCCTATCTTTTCTCCTGCCTTGTTATTGGTCATTCAGCTCTTTATTAGACCAATCAGGTATTTTAGAAAGGCTCAGTAACACAGCTTCACAGAGTTAAACAAACGCAACATAAAAGAATGCAACCCATCTTTGCATCATTAAACAAATATTCCACAGCATGAACAAATGTGACACATATTTAGCCAATATTCCACAACAGACTCTACTTTCAGTGATTAATTTATATACATTCAAATAGTGCCCTTTAGAACTGAACTGTAAATACAAAGCCTGACTGCTCTTTTCACACAAGGGAATTACAAGGCCTTGGAGAAATCCCCTTGAGGCTAGGCATTGGGGAGGACCTAGTTCAAAGTTGGCCTTTTTTTTTTTTTTAAAAAAAAAATTCTTATGTGTTTGAGTGTTTTTGCCTGCATGTATTTATCTGCATTATGTGTGTGCCTGGTGCCTGTGCAGGTCAGGGGAGGTTGTTTGATGCCCTGGATCTAGAACTGCAGGCAGTTGTGAGCTGACGTGCTTGGAGCCAAAAGTTGCTCTCT